GATTCGCTCCCTGGCGGAGCCGGACTTTTTTCGACAATGAACTTGACTCCTAGGTCGACCCAGCTTTGAGTGGGTACCGGGTGCAGTCCCAGGAAAAAAAGGCGACCGGCGTGATGCTAACCACATAACCTATCTTGTGCCGATTGGTCTATTAAAATATAGGTCTAGCCCTATGTGCCCTTTACGACTAAAGGTGTGAAAAAATGGTCCTTCACTTTACTTTTATTAACACACATCTTAGCTTCTGTTTAAAAAAAAAATTAAAAAATCGAAAACTGTTATGTAAGCATCCAACATGACACTTATGTCATAAAACTACGGTGACCATAATACTTTCCGCTGAAAACGGGACATCCAATAACTCTTACTATTTTGAGCTGAAAATGGGACGTCAAACTGATCGTAGTATTTTGAGTTGTAAACGGGAGATCCTAAGCAAGTCCCCTTACAAAATTCTAGAAAAGGTAAAAAAGGTAAAGTCGGGAGATGTGAACCAGCGTCATTGCACACGGTTAAAAACCATAAGTGCTCTGCCACCAGTACGGACAGCCGATAAGAATTGTCTGCCTGTGTCGCCGTCCGCACGTAACTCTGTAGCTACAGCGATGTTCCTGCATTACCCCAGAGTGTGAACTCTGGTACCCATTTCCCAGAGGCTGGGTGAACCCCGGAAACCGCCCGGTTTCGAACACCGACCGTAGCTGCAGCGAGTAGCAGATGAATTTGAAAGGGAGCCTCTTATCGACTGCGCTAATGCAGCCCGGGACAAAAATTATTATTATTATTATTATTATTATTATTATTATTATTATTATTATTATTATTATTATTATTATTATTATTATTATTATTATTTATTAAGGTACTAAAACATTTTAAGAACATGATAATATACAGGCGTATAAAATGTAGAAGACCTAAACATTTATAAATAAAAACAGACTATAATTTGAATACCCATCAACACATTTCAGGCGTTAAAAGTATCTGAAACTATGGTTTTGAGGTTTTAAACAACGGATCAACGTCATGGCACACGGGTAGTAACCCAAAAGTGCTCCGCTCTTCTTCTAACTCAAGTCTGAGTCCGAAGAAGCTCAGCACAGTGCCCAGGCTCTGTAGCAAGAAACCAGAGGGAATTACTAGAAGTCCAAGTCCAAGTGAAAAAATCCTAGCCCTTAAAGGGAATTAAACCCGGAACCTCTAGCACTCGAGGCGGACACCATGCCTCGAGACCACGCAGCCCTTCTATCTAAAACTATTAGATCTAATGAGTTCTACAGATAAAAGCATTTTATATTTTTTGTTCTCCAGCTAATTTCTAGATTTTTAAACAACGGGACGGCCGGTGTACACATAAAAAAAGCGGGACTGTCCCGATGAAAATGGGAGGTATGGCCGCCCTTGTGAGAGGAATCCTATTTATCAAATCGAATTAGAAATTATCTAATTACTGAGAGACAGCATCTTTATATGAACAGCAACAGAAGACCATAATATTTCCTGGTGTGTCATGCCTATCTATTTTCCCTGGAAATAATAAAAGCAAATTAAATTAGAGTCTGAATTCATCCGGCAAAAAGGTTTCCCTATAGCCAGTGGGTTTAATACTAATTGCTTGACCAGTTTTTCTTGCCACTTTTTTCGATTTTTTATTTTTTTATTTTAGCGGGAAGAAAGTTTGTAAAGACGTCCTTTCTGTCAGTCAGCCTGAACGTCTTGCAGTGAAATATGAGCCAAAATTTCGACACTTTTGAAAATATTTAAATTTCTATGTTGCAATATGTTATGTTATGTTATGTTTTGTTATGTTATGTTATGTTATGTTATTACGATCTATGTCACTCCTCACTGGACATTTCCAAACGTGCTCAGTCCTCAACTTAAGCAGCAGTCGTGCTGACTGTTCCCATATGTCAACAACAACAGAAAGTAAGTAAAAGAGTGGTGCATTAGGTGTATGATGATAGACCCTTACGTTTATAGCCAAGTCGGTACTAGCTGTTTGCTGTAGGTAATATCACGCCGACCGACCTTTACTTTCTAAAATCAGATAATCACAGTTTCAGCTTCATGACAAACGAGTCACCCCATAGTTGTTTCGTTCCTGTGCCAGCGAAGACTACACAGAATGTCCATCAGTGTATCATGTGAAAATAACAGTCACACACTATAGCCTCAGTAAAGCCAATGGCATACACACGTATCAGTCAGGCGTCGGAAATGCCAACATAAACAACCCCATACTAGAAATGTTGTTCATTGTCGATGAAAGTAGCAGTTAAAACAAAACAGTAGTTGCACACGTAATTATTCCCTAAGGCACCACCAGTGCTCTGGCAACTGGCCATTCACCATTTTCTGAATCTGCAGCTCGATACACACCACGTTAAGCTCTGTCGGAAAGTATTACAAATGAAATCTGCCATGTTTTTTTAGGGGGGGGGGGGGGGGGGGTGGTGGTCTACCTTTATTTCTAAGTGGGTTCCAGTGCAAAGACATTCTAGTTATATTGTTCTCAGGTTTTCTCAACGTGCGTCATATCCAAAGCGTTATTTTTTTTTAAACCGCTTGGTCCACTGGAACTTGTTTAGTTCTTTCTCAAAGCTCTAGGTTAGTGATTCTATCATTTGAATGACTGTATTAATTGCCTTAGTTGTTCTCCATGTTGAGAAAAAGGTTACTTGGTATTCAATGGCAAGACAAGATTCTAAACACTGAGAAAGAGCAGGTGTGAGTTTTTCTCAATGCTCAGTCTTTGAAAGCTCGGATTTCTTGGACACACTTGAAGTTGAGAGAATGGTATAGCCCTCGAGGACATTCTTCTTGGGAAGTTATTACAGATGGATAAAAGTTGCGAAGGTCGGCCTCTACAACGATATAAAGACATGTAAAATGGGGACGTAAAAGAGACACTGATAGTAGGGTATATATATATATATATATATATATATATATATATATATATATATATATATATATATATATATATATATATATATATATATATATATATATTTATATATATATATATATATATATATATATATATATATATATATATATATATATATATATATATATATATACACACACACACACACACAGGTTATTGCATCATTTTTTTAATAAAACAGACAGAGACATGGAAAAACAGAGTCACATACACAGAGAGAGGAAAGTTATAAAGAGTCAGACAGGCATAGAGAAACATAGATAAAGAAAAACAGTTAAAGAGAAAGAGAGACAGAGAAACATAAATAGACAAACATTGAGAAGGGGACAGGAAGAGTCAAAGAGAGATAGAGATAGACATATAGACTGACAGAGACAGAGACAGACAGAAACCAACATACATATAGAAGGTTTACAGTCAGAGAGAGACAGCGGCAGGCACAGAGAAAAACAGAGAGCAACACACACACAGAAGGGTTAGATCAGAGAGAGAGGCAGACAGACAGAGAGAAACAGAAATAGACATACACATGGGGGGGGGGAGAGGGGACAGTCAGAGACAGACCAAGATGGTTAAGCTAAGTCACCATCACAGACATTCAAACCAAGCTATTTCCCCAAGACTTGCTGGGACACTGAGAGCCAGAAAGAGAAAAAACTAGGATCACTGAGACAGAAACTATTTGCCCCGGAGTAGTAATGGGACATTGGAGATCGAAAATCATTAGAATGTAGCCGTCTAATGGGTCGTTATGGCAAAGCGCTGTGGCGCCTAGATGACTGATGACTGGAAATTGATTCTAACAAAGAATCAATGGAGCGTTTGTTGAGAGGTCCAAATCGCCTGGAAAGATTTTGATAAATGGACGGTCATGGGGGAATCTAGTGGATTTTGGTCGTTGTGTTGTGTATGTTCCTAATGCTGATAAATCTAGGGAAAGTAGCGGATATAATGGCATCTGCTTGAGTTAATACGTTATATGAATTATTTATACGTTAATTGTGGCTTCTTGAGTGTGTGTGTATTGCGTGGGCAGTCGGCATTATAGAGTGTTACTGGAACGGTCTTGTGAGATCTATTGTGATCTTGTGAATAAGAGAGGGGTGTGTACCAATGTTGCCGTTGCAGTCGCATGAGAGTTAGGTACTTTTCGATAAGCTTAAGGGTGCTCAAATGTCGTGAATAGGGCTATTGATCGATCGATCAGTTTGTCCCCTCTGAGCTGCTATCTAAAGGTTTAACATATTATTCTAAGACTGAAAAGAAAAAATAATAATTTGGACAGCAGACCAAGCAAGCTGATTGGGGATACCTCGATCAGCCTGCAATGAAGTTTTAATTAGGGCAACCGTAACGGCAACACCATGAGTCACCGTGACGTTGCCAACTAGACGCCCGCCTGGGGATCGGAAGGTCGCGGGTTCGCGTCCTGAAGGAGTCGGACTTTTTTTTTTCTTTTTTTTTCTTCAAAAATGACCTTGACTCCCAGGTCGACCCTACCTTGAGTTGCTACCAGGTGCAGTCCTGGGAAGTAAAAGTGGCCAGCGTGGTGCTGACCACATCAGCCACCAAGTGCCGATTGGTCTATAAAATATAGTTCTAGCCCTTTATTCCCAATACGTCTAAAGGCATATATGACTTTCCCTGTCGTACAGTGTTGGTCATTACGGTTGTTTCAGACTCTTACCCCCCTAAAAGTGTTATATAAGGCAGTACTGAATACTGACATTTTATTCACTGATAAAGACTTTGGGAAAACATTCGGTTGTATTTGAGTGGATCGTTTTCTTTTCCTCTGCTGAGCTTCTTCTTTCTCTTATTATTATTGTTATTATTATTATTATTATTATTATTATTATTATTATTATTATTATTATTATTATTATTATTATTATTATAAAAATTATTTTTAATATTATTCGTATTATTCTACTGCTATTTCTTCTTCCAGTTCTTCTCTCTGTCTTCTTCTTAGTCACCACGTGTGCTGAATTAAGATACTGGTAGGATAAAAGGCAAAATATAGAACAAACTAGTAACTTACCCGACTGGCCTTGTGTCTGGAATGTCTCTCTTTAGAGGCAGCTGGTCGCTTACAGTGACATTATAAGAATAGAGTTCGAATCCGTCGTTTTTCAATCTGTGTGCTTGGCTCGGCTCTATCCCTGTTTGTCCAACAGATACCCTATTATTAGTAAATTTCATGTGTTTTACTAATGCTGAACTTTCCTTTGATGTTCCATTGTTTTCAATTGGTACATGTTTATCGCTTTCTAAATAAAAGCCTCTATTTACTTCATCATTAATTTTCTGTTTGGAAAAGCGCCCAGGATCAGGAAGTGTGATTGTTTCTTTTTCGAACTTTGTATCTTTAAAAAATGGCAGCGTATTTTCTTTGTTGCTCCGATGTCGTTTCTCCTCAGGCAGCAAAGAATGGCTTGCGTAACGATAATCGCTCGGCTTTGTTTCAGGATCCAGTGAGTGTAGGCTCTGATCAAAGAGGTTTTTAGGCAAATATTCTACACTGCCCCCGGGGACTTCCATTTGCATGACAACAGAGCTGTTTATATTTGATTTGGGACTGGTTATCCCCAAGATCTGTATATTTTTGACGCTTTCCGCATCTGCCCGGGGATCTCTGGGAGTGTGATAACTATGTTCTATAGAAGCTGCTCGTAAGTGGTCGTAATCCATTCTCGTGTCCTTTTCACGCGCTCGCTGCCGTTCATCTCTATTGAAATAAGTATTGATTTCAGCGCTGGTGTAAAAATTGCTCTCTCGATTCTGTTTTTCGCTCATACTTGCCAGCAAATGGCCGCTTATGGATTTTTTACTGGCATTTGTTTTCAAACCAGTCTTTTTCAAACCTCGTGATGACGTTTTGAGATAGCTGGTGGAATTAGAAGGCGAGATCTTAGTGGGATCTGGATCTGTGCCGTTTTGTCTAACTGCCCCCAGGGTGTGCCCTCGTTTGCCATCTCGGTTATTGTGTGGAGAAGATGGCGTTAAATCTGCATAACGCTCGTGGCTCTTATATGAATGTAAAACAGTCAGGCTACTGGCTGATGGCCTAAAGTTCCTATCAACGTTTTGTGTATCTGGAGACTCAATCGGCGATTGCTCTTTTGATATAAATATGCCGCTGCCGTTTTTGAACTGAATTTGTCTGTCTCTAAAATCGCCACTACTTCGAAACGTTACTTTGTCTAATCCAGCCAGTTGTCCCATCTTAATCTCTTGAATTCGACGCCCACTTATGAATCCATCCTTCACCAAACTAGATGCCTGCCTCTCAAGAGCTTTCGACGCTGGATTCAAACCCCTGATGAAAGACTTCAACTCGTTACTGAGAACCAATCTGGTGTCAGTTCTTCCATTGGATGACATCTGCGTCTCTTTGTCACTTAATGACAAACCGAGCAGTGAGGGGACGCTTGTCAGACTACCGGGCAACAGAAACAATGGCGCATCTCCTTTCATCTCCAGCGTCCTGTGTTGATCACTCGAACTTAAATTAATCACGGTAATTATACACAGCCAGAAGCCCAGAATGGCCACTGCAGCTTTCAAGGACCGACAGCGCTTCAGAAATCTTGAAATGCACTGTAGAGTCCCCATCCCTTTTTCCCCCGCCTTGGGGGAAATCTCAGAATCGCGGGTATGTGGTGAAACCCGGTCTGTTGTACTCTACTTGAAAGACAGTTATCTGTTTACGCATCAAATACTAGTCTGTGGTGCCCTGCTGCGAACAAAATTAAATGTTTACACATAAAAAACAAGTTTGTTTAACTCAACTGCGAAAAACCTTTAATTGTTTTTGCACTGAAAACCAGCCTTTTAAATCCTTTTGTGTGCAACGTTAACTGTTTGCGTTTTAAAAACTAGTTTGCTGTTCTCTACTTGGAACAGTTAAATGTGTATGCATCAATAACAAATCTGCTATATATATTCTCGTTCGAACAGAGTTAACTGCTTTCACATTGCAGACGAGTTTGTTTTATTCTACTGCGAAAACATTTAAATGTTTACTCATTAACAACCAGTCTAATAAATCCATTTAGAACACAATTAACCGTTTACGTATCAAAAACTAGTTTGTTGTTCCTTACTTTCAACAAAGTAAAATGTCTATGCATCACTAAATAATCTGATATATTCTCCTTCGAAAACAGTTAACAGTTTACATTTAAAAATCCTGTGTGCCAGTTTGCACAGTTTACACATCAAAATCTACTCTGAGGTAGTTTCCTTTGAACAGTGTTGACTGATTTATTTTGTAAAACAAAGCTAACCGTTTATTCATCAAAGTTCTCATGACTCAGAAACTGTTTCTCTGTCAGAAAATCCTTCCGTTTTTAGTCACAGTTGTGTGCCTCCCGAAACGGCAATGATCACACGAATAACAGAACAACGTATTATTGCCATTGCCAGCTCGGTTTCAAACATATCTACGCGTGTTTTAGTTGATGCAATATGTTTTTACCGGCAGATTAGGCTGTGGGCTTATTTTTGAAAGTATTTCCATCATCTGTAACTGCGATAGAGTTTTTGTAAAGACAGAAAAACGATTACATAGATGATAGATTGATTGAGAGAGAGAGAGTGTGTGTGTGAGAGAGAGAGAGAGAGAGAGAGAGAGTGATAAACAGATAGAGCTGTCGGATAGATAACCTAACAGATAATATAATCAGGTCAAATTTACACACACACACACACACACACACACACACATACACACACATACACACACATACACACACACACACATATATATATATATATATATATATATATATATATATATATATATATAATTGTAGCTTTCTTTAAAACATAATTTATGGCAGACATGCATACATAACGCTTTTCCACCTCTTTTGATTTCTCCTCCTCAACCTCCAACTCTCATAAATGACCTTGGCTCCTAGGTCGACCCAGCTTTGAGTTGGTACCAGGTGCAGTCTGGGAAATAAAGGCGACCGGCGTGATGTTGACTACATCATCTACAAAGTGCCAATTGGTCTATAAAAGGTAGGTCTAGCCCTATATGCCCAAATACGCCTAAAGGGGTGGAAATGGGTCCTTTACTTTTTACCTCCAACTCTTCACCTCCTATTATTTTTATTTGTTAAAAAAAAAAATAAAAGAACACATTGTGGACTGGCTGAGATTCACAAAGAAACCAGGATATGCTCAGCGTTGATTGGGACTGAATGAGTTATCCTAAAGATCCTATTTTGTTATGTTGCAAGCGACAGGAAGAAAAACGCTGACGTAACAGAAATTAATTAATCACTGAATCTATCTTAAGAAGACACATTTCTGGAAGGGCACTCCATAATTTCCTTTTCTAAACTCTTTCATTACTAGCAAACTTAGTATACGTTTATTGATAATTCTCTATATGAAATACATTTCCTTCTAGCAGGCCGAGCCCAGTTTTGGGGAGAAATATAATACAGACCCTCTGACCCCTAACGGTAATGTCATAAATGACGATTAGTTAGTAGACTGTTGAAATCGAATAATTAGACCGAAAGGTGTATATATCACAGACTAGCTGTAACCTTACAACAGCGTGCCCATCGCCATATTCAGGGCGATCGCAGAAGGAGAAGAAGAAGACGTTACTTAATTTCTATTGTCTAGTTCTTCTGTTGAATTGTCAGAATCTTGTTTAGTCCATTTGGTTGCTTCGGCTGTCCCGTAAATGTATTATTTTCATACAGTAGGACTCGCACAAGATTACTCGTAAGTACACTATTTTAAGAAATGAGATGTCTGAGAAGGTCTGTAGAAGTGACCGTAAGAGATAAGATCAGAAATGAGATCATAAGAGAACAAGTCGGCACAGAACCAATTCTGGATTACATACAAAGACAGCAAGTGAAATGGTTTGCCCACTTAGAGAGAATGCCTTGTGACACCATACCATACAAAGCATACATGGGAAGAGAAGAAGGACGTAGAGCACGGGGTAGACCAAAAACAAGATGGAAGGATAACATCAGAGAAACTCTACAACAGTACGATGTGCCTATGGTCGAGGCAGCCAGAAGAGCTAGAAACAGAACCTTATATCTCCCTCGACACCCACAGCAGTAAAAGAGGAAGTGAAGAAGAAGAAGAAGAAGACACTATTTTAAGAAAAAAACGTAAAGACTCAACTGCTTGGCACTGAGAGAATTACAAATAGGACGGTAGGTCCAATAATTTGGGAACTTCTGCGCCAGACCAAAGCTGAAGGCAGCTAGTTTCCCGACGTGACGAAGTATATTCCAACAAGGAGTTGACAGAAGCGAGGTCTGTTCTAGTGCCCTCGGTTACACTCGCGCATCTTGGTGTCTTCAACCCTCGGCAGACACATTAGTCTTTCAGCAAGATGTATTTCACACTTCACGTGTCATTGAGGAGAGTCGACACGTGCGATCCAAGACTCGTGGACATGACTTTCCTGATGTCTCAGTTACTTAATGTTACTGCCACGTCAGCACAATGCAGCCAACCAGTCACGTTTCTGATTTTAAACTTTACAGTAAGTAAAGGACCCTTTTTCGCGCCTTCAAACGTATTAAGCATATGGGGCTATACACCTATATTTTAAAAACCAATCGGCACTTGGTGTGTGATATGGTCAGCATTACATCGACTGCCTTTACTTCCGAGTGCTTGTACCTGGTACCCACTCAAGATTAGGTCGACCTGGGAGCCAAAGTCATTTCTGAAAACAAGAAAGCTTAGGCTCAGTCAGGACCCAAATTCACGACCTTCCGATCAGCATGCGAGCGTCTAGCCGCTGTACCACGGTGGCTCCCTATAAATTTTAAACGACAATACATTTCCATTAACCGTAAATTTAAAACGCGTTCATATTTTACATATGTCTGAGACTAGCTAATGCGATGGAAAACGCTAAGAGCCTCAAGGATTTGCGTATTTTATGGCGGACGGTTACATGTTTTTTTTTTTTTTTTAACGACTTGTAGTATTTGGACTGCAGTCGGAAAGTTGCTCAGTAAAAGAGATTGGGACAGGTAATATTTAAAGAGTGGGTGAACAGTGGGGAGGCAAAAACAGATCAGGAGAATGGCGCTGCGAGCAGTTGCATGGCGATCTGGCCGACGCTCAACACTCAAAAGAAAAGCGAGCAGATTTAGAACACTTAACTTGCTGCTGAAGATGGGGACGGGCGCTTTTAGGAGTATCCCGAATGCTATGATGTGGATTCTGAATTCAACATTTAACATCACGTAATATTCCCAAAGACAGCAGTGGGCGTACAGAAGCCCAGTGTTCTTCAACCGGTGGGTCGTAAAAAAGTCGAGATGGACTGCCAACAAATTCTGCTCATCATGTAACAGGACAGTGTTTGTGGTTTTGCTCCTCCGTGATTGCCGTCTGAGGGATGAACACCTCAAGGATGAGAATCAAACCGGTGCAAATTCCAGAAATGTCATGCAAACACATACAACAGTAAAATTATGGCACGAGACGGTTGACGTAACCTGTAGTTTAGAATGGCCCAGAATAGGCACCTAAACAAAATGAAG